ACCAGAGGCTCTCTTATACTATCAGTTGTGTATGCACAACTCCCACAGAAATTGTTGCAGTGCCAAGCAAGACAGTGACTTCCATTGTGAATGTGACTCTTGACATGTGCAAAGGTCAAATTATGGGTCCCCCCCCCCCATGCTGATAACCATCAGTAATTTGTTTAGGAAGCTGTAGGTGACGTTCAGCTAGATGATTTATTGCAAGATTATGCACACCCACAAGTAAACATTTATCTCCAGCTTCTAGTTAGCTGTTAGCTAGGTTAACACTTGTTTGATTTTTAATATCATTGACTTAAATGGATACATATATGTGGCATGGTTACTGTATCTGCAACTACCTCTGAACCTCTGCCAAATTAATTGCCAAATTATTAGCTCCATAAACCTGCTAGATTAGCTCTCATGAATAAATAACTAGTAAAGCTGGTGCCAGGCACTGAATATGTGATAAGTACCTATTGGTTGTGTTTGCCTTTTCTCCCTGCTCCCTTTCTTTTTCTTATACAATATTTGCATAAACTCAAATGCTGTAAATCAATGTACCTGAGCTCCTATGCCTAAACTAATTTAGATCTTTGTTTTTAAAAATAAAATTATTGATACATGATTGTCACACAAAAATAGATACTATGGTGATGGACAGCAGAATAAAATACTAAGGTAGATTGGATGTGAGTACATGAAAGAGTACGTTTTTTGTGACCACAGCTTAGAATGTTCAATTTTTAATATCTAATCCATTAAAGAAACAGGAAGACTGATTTCTGATGGTTATATTTACCTTTGCTAGAGAACTGTAGAGCTCTTTATTTGCAGTAGTGTTTTCTTTGACTCATTCAAACCTACATTAAAATAAAGAAGTGTGGAGATGGTCATTTTTTATTTCTGAATATTTTTAAATTTCAAAACTTGAAATATTTTCTATTAAATTTTAGCAAAATTATTTTCCTGTTTGACCAACTGCAGAGCTAGTCATTTTTTTCAAAGCAAATTTCATTCCTGAAATTTTCAAAAAGGGGATTTTTTTCAAATAGTTTTTTAAACAAATGATAGCTGATTTTTCAAATTTAAAAGTGGATGAAATGTCAAATTAAAAAAATTGGGAGAAAAATTTCTAAAACTACTTTTGTAAGATATTTTCTTTTTTATGAGCAGCTCTTGTAAACAGGAACTTCTTCAGCTAGAAATGGATATCAAAGGCAGGCTACATGTACCCTGGGCCAAACTGTCTCCTTAGCTACACCTATGCAACTGCCCAAGATGTTTAATGGGAATTGCATGCTTTTACTGGAGCGAATTTGCCCATTGCTAAGCATAACTAAGAATAACTACTGCTTTTGCCTTTTCAAAGACCGAAGAAGGGAATTTATTGTGAGCTGTGGCTGACATGTGACATCAATAGGTAACTTTCTACACTCCTCCATATTTATCTATTATTCTCAATATTAATTCACATGCAATTAGAGTTGGGGGCTGAACAAGACCTGGGATTTGGACACTGTAGCCTTAAAACCTCTCTGTATAACAGGCCTGAGCCAGACACTGAATATGAGTCCCCAAAGCATAGGAAGGCTGCAGTTTGTGGGATGGGGCCCATCTTTGTGATGACTCATGGAATAAATGACAGGTGTTTTAGGGCTACCCTAAATCTCCCCCAAAAATCAATAAATACAGAAGTTAGGCTTTCTGTTCCCAATCTCATGTTACTAGGATTAGGTATTTCAGCACATGCAAGACATAAGATCTCCCTATATGAGTGTGATATTCCCCTCTGGTGTTGTCTGGACCAGTGATCTGCTAGGCCACTCCAATCCTTGACTCTGGGAGCCAGCCTTACCCTGCTCTGCTGTGAGAACCCCCACTCCTGGGCTGTTCACACACAGCCTCTGGCATGTAAGCTGCTCCCAGGTACTTGCAAGCGAATGACACTAGCCAATATCTCTGGTCCCAGAGACAACCCTAGGAACCTCCGTCTCGCCGTGTCCAGTTATGCCCGCTGGACGCTGCAAGCTTATATGAGTTTGTCAATTTAACAAAAAAATTGATATGCACCGGGCTTGTTATCCCAAGGGGAGCTGCTGACACACTTCAAACCAAACACACTATTTCAGGTAGAATAAACAAACAAATTTATTAACTACAAAGATAAATTTTAAGTGATTGTAAGTCAAAGCATAACGAGTCAGAGTGGCTACCAAAAGAAAAGAAAATATAAGCACACAGTCTAAACTCTCAACCCTGGGCAGCAACTAGATTAAGCAGTTTTTCTCACCCCACTGGATATTGCAGTCCTTACTATATAGGTTTGTTCCTTAAACCTGGGCCAATCTCCTGTGTTGTAGTCTTGTCTTCTTCTCAGTGTCTTGGTTGCTTGCAGCGAAAGTGGGGGCAGGAGAAGGGCCCAGTATGTGTCCCCTCTGTCTGTTTTATACCCTCAGTCCATGTGCTTGTAGAACACAGGTCCAAGAATGTCTGTGGGGCATTGCTGAGGGCTGATCTACACTGGCAATGCTAAAGCGCTGCCGCGGCAGCGCTTTAACATGCCTTGTATGTTTGTGCCGCAGCGCTGGGAGAGAGCTCTCCCAGTGCTCTAAAAAAATCCACCTGCACGAGGGGCGCAGCTCCCAGAGCTGATGCACTGGTGCTTTGCAGCGCTGAAACTTGCTGCACTCAGGGATGTTTTTTCACACCCGAGCCAGAAAGTTACAGCGCTGTAAATTGCCAGTGTAGACAAGCCCTGAGTCTCTCCAAGCAAGGTTGAGCAATTCCCCTGGTGTGGCCTCATGCAGGTGAGTCATTGCATTGTAGCTCCCTTGCTGGGCAATGGCTGTTGATGGGTTGTTTGACACCCTGCCGGGGCGTTTGTTATTTTCCTTGCTGTTGCCTCTGGGGGGCTAATATCTGGCTGATTTCCCCCAACTTACAGCATGTTTTAGTGACAACCATACTACACAATTCTCATAACTTCATATGCATTAATGATATACATATATGGATAGAGAAATGACTTTCAGCGGATCAGAACCTTTCCCCTGATACCTTACAAGGCATACTTTATATGTAAGATCACGATTATATGTAAATGTAAATGAGAAATATGGGGGTTACAGTACGCTCCCCCAAGGTACAGAGCATCACAATGAGACCCATGGCAATTGAGTGAGAAGCCTTAAGCCTAGATTTGGGGGCTTTGATTAAGACCTTTAGCAATTTTAAAGAGCCACCATCCAGGCTTCAAATGTAGATTGCTTGTGTTTTGAAAGAACATAAAGACTTATAGGTATAGAAATGTTGTCATTTTTTTTTCTATAAAAGATACTGAAAAAAGTTTACCTGGAATTTTTTGTTTGGATTGACATATTTCCCAAACATTGCACCTTTGTGCAAATGCCTGAGAACCAGAAACCAAAACTAGCTACCACAGAGTTCCAAGAGCAAACAAGCAAAAGGTAAATTGGATTTAAAATCTTTAACTTTTAATAATTAACCTGCTCTTAGTACAAATGTAAAGAAACTTGTTTGTTTGGATTTTTAACTTGGCATTACCACTTTAAGGCCAAAATTTGTTTTCTTTTTAAAATATCTCTCACTGAGACAATGCATGATCTACTGTCACTGCATTTTTATCAGGTCTTTTGAACTTGGTATCACTTCAATTAGTCACTATGATCTTTCCACTGAGACTGTAAAAGCGCCATTTGAGCCATTATGTTCTCAATGGAACTACAAGAGATACTGTCTGAGGTTACTCAATATGCTGGAAGTTCACCAAGCCACGGTGTAGCTTGATAATTCCTCAACATAGAGATTGCAGCATGTTTAATGCTAGATCAGTATTGCCCTGCTACTAGTGCTCTCACGCTCTCACCTCTCGCCTAGATGTCCATGGGTTCAAGCTGTAAATCAGCACTCTTACTCAATCCTCATATTTAGATTACAGTACTAGAGTAAGGCAGCCTTCACCATCCTTCTCATTCAATACTAAATTGAGATCACTTCTGCCCATGGTAACTATCTACATGGAAATTAAAGATCCAAAATAACTAAAACAAAAGGGGTGTGTTGTGTGTGTGTGAGTGTGTGTGGGGGGGGAATCTTGGTGGCTTTACCAACCTTCTCTCTCTCTCTCTCTCCCTAAAACAGGTTCTAGGCCTTGATTCTAGGCACTTCAGCATGTGCTTAACTTTAAGCATGAGTAGTCCCACTGAAACCAACAGAACTACTCATGTGGCTTTGCTGAACTGGAGTCTTCTCCAAGAGGTATGTGAGGGGCAGAGATGGGAACAAGAGACTGGAATCTTGACTCCCCCACCCTTCTCTTTATTAATCTGTCCTGTTGTGCCTAGTGATTGCTGGGAAAGTGGAAAATCCAGGTGCACAAAATATGCTAATAACAGTTTCAGCCTAGACTGCCTATGTGCCATTGTTTGTGTGCTTGGGTATTATGTAAATATAACTAGTTAAACTCGGGAATGTGAATTTCACTTGGGCGCTTATATACAGTGTACAGGACCAGGCTTGTCTTGTCTATTTCTATGCTGCTTGTTGAGTCAGCCTGCTAGCCTAGTGGTGTAACTGGGAAATCCCTTGAGACTGCAGGCTGGTGTCCCCCAGGCACCAAAGGGTAAAAATTCCACTTTCACAGCTCTTCGCCCTTCACCTCCCCAGAGGTATCCCAACCCTGCCCGAGCGCATTAGCTGCAGCTCTTCCCCCTAATACCGGCTCTGGGCTGGCAGCAGTCGGGCTCGGAATGACTCAAGGGAGAGCGGCGATCAGTGCCCGAGCCCCGGGAGCGCCCCTCCCCGCCTGCTCTGGAAATCCCGTCTCCGCCACCCCGCGCAGCGCACGGAGCTGCCGTGGGGAGGCTGCGGGGCTCGCTCGGCAGGGTCCCGCCGCAGCGCCCAGGGCAGGTGGTCGCCGGCGGGTTGTTCCGGCGCCAGGTGCCCGGCCCCTCCCGAGGGCTCCCTGGCGCAGGTGAAGGCGGGGCGGAGTCACTTTCAGTTTCGGGCATTGTGGGAAGGCAGGATGGGCGGCGGGGCGCGCACCTGACACTGAGGGGGGAGCCGGGGCGAGCCGCCCGGAGCAGGGACCATGGTGAGTGGGGGGCGCGGTTTGAGGGGAGCCGCCAGGCAACGAGCCCCGGCCGCGGCGGGAACTGGGTGCCAGGAACTTTCCCCCCGGCCAGCAGGGCTGGGGCCACCCCGGCGCCTTCCTGGCTGGCACCCTGTCGTGTCACCCCGGGACGGGCGCTGCCCCAGACACCTTCCCAAGCTCAGCCTGGCAGGGCCGCCGCTGGGGAGAGCCGGCTGAGGCTCGGAGGGGCGCGGCGCGGGAATGAGCCCCCCCCCCCTCCTCCAGGCTGGGTTTGGGCCACACGGCCCTGGGAGCCTCCTGTCACTGTTCAGGCCGGGCTGGGGGCAAAATCTGAAACAGAGGCTGCCCTCCTCCCCCATGACCCCAAAGGGGAGGCTGGCGAGATCCTGCCTGGGGCGCTCACCCAGTGGGCAGTGCTGGGCCCTGCTCCGGGCACTTCCAGCAGGCCCACAGCCTGGCAGTGCTGCTCGAGTTATGCCCCCTGGGTCACAACACCACTCCCTGAAACATGGTCCTGAGCGGCATGGCCACCGTGCGCACCCGCTCGCAACGCCACTCTGGGGGCTCTCACAAATGGGCCCTGGGCAAATGACCCCTTTTGTGCCCCAGACCCATAGGTGGGTGACATGTCTGCTTCCCCTCTTGTACTCTGCCCCAGTGATCAGAGCCTAAATCACATCACCCACCCTGCAGCACAGTTCCCGCAGTGGGTGACATCTAACATGGTAGAGAACATCATATTTCTGTGATATCTACTTCTGTTTCTTGGTACTCCGTGGAGCATGTGCTTTCGAGCAGACAGGCAGTGGTACTGTCTTTCTTTGCCTCTCAGTTTGTGGCTACATATGCTTTTGCATGTTATAGGCTTGCAACAGCTACAACTTCCCTTCTAAGGGCTGCTCTACAAGCAGAGTTCCATTGGTTTCACTTTAGGGCTCATTTTAAACTGACTTGGTTCAACTGATGCAAAAGGCTATATGGACACACTTACTTTGGTTTAAATGAGGGTTATTATAGTTTAGCTTAAGTCAATTAGGAACCAGTTTAAACTAAATTGAAATGTGTGTGTCCACGCGGGGGTCTAAACTGGTTTAACTAAACCAGAGCAGGTTTGTGTGTAGGCCAAACTTAAGGCCTCAATTTTCTAAGCTGTTCTGTGCCCACTGAAGTAAAATGTTGTTGTGTAGTCAGGGCCTAAGACACTCTCAATTCAAATTTGACCACAGAGATAAATATTGTGAAAACCTAAGACAAACAGAAATGTTTGCATGGCACTTCAACTAAAAAACAATCCAGTGGAAACAGGTTTTTTAAACAATCATTAGCTAACAGTCTTCACAGTACAAACATTCAGCATAGATACTAATTAGTGTATAAGGCCCTGAAAGTGAACCAGATACTGAACAAAAGTGAAATTGACTAGGTTAGGCCTCATCTATACTAGAAAATCAAATTGCTTTGCTACATCGCTCAGGGGTGTGAAAAATCCACAATGCTGAGTGGTGTAATTAAGCTAAGCTAACCCCCAGTATAGAGCGCTCTAGATCGATGGAAAAATTCTTCCCTTGGCCTAACTACTGCTTCTTGGGGAGGTGGATTACGTACGCCAAGGGAAGAACCCCTCCCTTTGGTGTAGCTAATGTCTACGCTGTAGTGTAGTGGTGCAGCTGTGCCACTGTAGTATTTAAGTGTAGCCGTACACTTATTTTCAGTCTCCACACTGAGAGAAATGGGAAGAAAAGGTAATTCAGATGTTCAAAATTCCAGTTTTAATAATCTGAGCTGTTTTTAGACACAAGAAAAATGTGCATTTAAAGAAATCCAATTTTTTACATCAACAGTGTTCAGTATTGCTACCTCCAAGTGGTTTAAAAGAATAAATCATCCCCCCTATCCTCCTCCCCCCAATCATGAGATTTTTTAAAAGATAAATTTTGGGTTCTTTTTATTTGCCTCTGGCTTTTGAATCATTAGATTGTATGACAAAGCTTGGAAATGTGGGCAACCAGGAGGGTACACTCCTCAGATTTTCATATAACTGTGGAAGCTGGAGCTGTAAGAAAAACACCAAGTGTGAGACTCACAACAAAGTGACAAGAATCAGAAACACCAAGTGTCCCCTTAAGGCAGAACAAGTATCACTAGAGCAGAATGAGCCCTGTAGATTCTGGCTCTGGTTCATGTGTGTTCTGGGAGACATTCACTTGATGAGTCCACAAGATTTGCCTTTTCCCTGCAAAAAATGGGCTAGATTTCAGGATGCTCCCTTCTCAGGATCTTCAGGTAAAGCTAGGTGGCTGCTATCCATCTTTTAGCTTGAAAGGGCACTGGGTAGGGGCAGCAGCCATCCATTCTGAAGGGTCATGAAGAGATAGTAGGAGAGGTAAGTACGCTCACTGCAGCTGGTCGCTACGCTAACTGTAGGAGCATCACATGGAGGCCCGTCAAGGTTAATGTGTGCTTTCTAAGGATTTTTTTTTTTTCTTCATGAAAGGTAGTGAGTGATATCCTTGCACTCATGGCCAGATTTTTCCCATTGGAGGTGTAGGTTCTCAGGCCAGAACTTGTCTATGGTGCCTATAACTTGGTTAGTACTACTTGACAAACCAACTTGTTGACTGGTTGTTAAGTCATCGTGCTGGGCTTCTTTCTGGGTGTTCCCTGAACTTCTATCTTGCACAGTTTGCCTGTTGTGTGGATTTGTAATATGAATTGAGCACTGGAACTGAACAGAAACATCAAAACCATCTTTCATTGAAGGCTGGTGTTTGGATTTTGGCTGTGGTCTGAAAGGTAAAGTACAGTAAATACATTGATCCAATCAGAACCAAATTTACAAATGTGTCTGTCTCATTGAGTGCCTTTATAAAGATGTGCCCATCATCACACTGCTGGGTGTGTGTAGAGTATAAATAATAAAGTGTATATGTCAATGAAAACAATTTCCTTCCCTCTCTTCCCACGCATCCCCACAATGTATTACCTTTCTGATCACCACCTGAGTTCATCTGACTCAGTCATTCCCCTAAGTGTAAGTAAAACTTGAGTAAATAAATAGAGCTTGTACTTTACGTTGAAGGTCAACAAACTTGGGTTTTGCCTGACCAACATGGAAAGCTGATTCGAGAGTCTCCCTGATCTAAGGACTTCACAAATACTTTCTGTCCAACACATTTATTGTGGCCCATTGGGCATGGGATAAGGAAACATTGCCTACATTAGTGCCGATTATTGACATTTTGGAGACTGTCCATCATATCCGTTTTTCACAGGATTAAACTTGTAAGGCAAATGTGTGTGTTTGTTTATACCCCCTTCCTTAGGCAGCATGATATAGTGAATCTGGCACTGGATTAGAAGTCAAGTAATTAGAGTTCTCTTTAAAGTTCTAACTATCTCACTGTATAATCTTGGACAAGTCATTTGAACTGTCTATGCCTCAGCCTCTCCCTGTTTAAAATGGGGATAATATTGGTTATCCATCTTTGTTACTTTTCCTCCATAAACGTCAAAGCATGTATGTAAACAATAGAAATTATTTTAGTCACAAAAGCTGTTCTTATGCACTTAACTATAGTATGTTCTCAATTTGTAGATCACATCTTAGCAAGAAAATTGTTCCTCTAGTGGAAATGCTCTGTAGGCACGGTGTGCAGCATAACTTTAATTCATGCCATGAAGGTCACTCTTTTCTGCCCAACTATTACTTTTCATCAAGGGAAAGGCTTTTTAAAAAGAGTACATTTAACTCCCTAAAGTGTTTCAGATGATATTATTATTTATTTAGATTATGCTCCCAGTTGAGACTATGCAGACACAAAAAAATTAACCAGTTCACCTTTTCAGGATTGGGAAATCATTCCTGTCGAACAAAAACTCTGATAAGATGATAGGGGAAATCTGGATCCAGGATACCATAATCTATTTAGGCCTGGAGAAAAGGAACAGTTGATTTATCAGGTGTGGAACTGTAGCTGCACCAGTAGTTTGGGTCATATTTTGAAATAAGGCCCACACAGGTCTGAGTGAAAATCCAGCTGCCATGTTTTGTGCAGCTCCATGAGTGACATTTTTGGAAGGTGAAAGAATTAATGGATTTCCCCTTCAAGATCAGCTTGAGCATTGGGAATAGGTATGGCGGAGGTAGGAGCCTATTTTCTGCACACTTTAGAAGGAAAGATCAAGGGAGCCTGAGGACTGGGGTATTACAAGGAGTCGAGAGCCACCAGAAGGTAGAAGGATATTTTGTAGGGGGGAGAGTCTGGACGAGAGATTGTTAGGGTGGGGAGAGCCTGGAGGATTTCTGGGGCAGTGGTGCAGCCTAGAGAAGATGTGGTGGGTGGATGGGGAAAGCCGGGGGGAGGGTTGCTGGGAGACCATGGGACCGTGGGGATGTGCAAGGAAATTGGGGCAGTTGGATGCATGAAAAATAGCTGGGCTATGTGCAGACATGTGAGCACTGCCAAATGTGAGTGTGCCATGCAAGATGCAGTGGTGCCAGGAGGGCAGGGGGCCATGGCCCTCCCACTTTTTGAAAATGGATGGGCCTGGCTCGTCTACTTTTTGCTGGGGCGGTGGGTGGGGCCTGTCCACCTGGCCAAGCCAGTATGCAGCCTGGATGGGGACAGGAGTCTGGGCAGTTGTGGGAGCCACACATGTGGACCCTCCGCCGGCCCGCGGTACAGGAGGGCTGACAGCAGCCCCTGGTCCGTCTCCCTGCCCGACCAAAGGCAGGTCGAGGTGGAGAGTCCGTGACTCTGCACCAGCTCCCCACAGCTGCCCGCACGCTCTCCCTGACCCAGCTCCGGCTGCGGGGTGGGCCTCAGAGCCACGGTCCGGCCATGATAAGAACCACACTGCGGGCAGCTGTGGAGAGCCGCGGACCCTCCACCTCCCCTGGCGGGGGGGCCATGGGTGGACAACGGGCCAGGGCCTGCTCTTGATGCCCCCCCCTCGCCCGCCCAGGGCAGGTGGAGGGTCTGCCATGGCTCCCCACAGCT